GATTCCCACCCAAAAGAACAAAAGCATTTGCTTTTGTCAGAAATCTTTTTGAATTCTGACAGCCTAACAAGGAAATTGTGTTCCTAAATTTGCCATCACCAGAGTGTGCTCTGGCTGGTGTATTCTGGAGCTCCTGAGCTCCTGGCAGGGAGAAGTCAGGCTCTGGAGCACTGCTTTATTCACAGAGGAGGTGTCACAGAGGAGATGTCACACGTGTCCCAGTCCGCACTGTGCCCCTCCCAGGGATTCCTCACCCTGCAGCTACCGTGGAAGTTCAGTCTCTGGGCGCCCTTCAGCCTTAGGTGCTGCTGCTGCACCTGCAAAACAAGAACTTAATTAGTTTAATTGGCACAGCAGCTCTCTCAGAACAGGACTAACCCACTGGCGAGCAATCCCGAAGTTAGAAGATCCAAGGGCTCGGGATGGGGGGTAATCAGTGGCCGGCCCCAGAGCGGGGCAGATGGAAGAGGAGCACATCATTCCCCAGCTTTGGATCCTCATTATCACATCAAAGCACATCCAGGCTGACTCCTCCACAATGCCTCTCGAGCGGGGGAGTTTAGTGAGGAAACTTCCCCTCGCCTGCCTCTGCGCCTGCTTCCCAAGTTTCATTTTGATTTTGGGGGCTGGATAAGCCCCAAACACAAAAGGAAGTCGAGACAGAGTGGGTGACTGTCACGTCAGGATTCTCAGAGCCTCAGTTCCCGTTCAGGTGGGTACCAGGGAAGGCTGGAGGTGGATGAGCAATCCTAGGAGCTGTTTCCAGCACTGGCTCTTACAACTCTGTTTTCTTCTAGTGGGGTGGTCGGTTCATGGCTGACAAACGGGAAGAGACATCTCTCATTGCAGAGATCAAATTGCACAACAAATTAAAAGGCTCCCTGGAGGCACCACTGCTCCCTCTGTTCAAAGCCAAAGCCTGCCCTGACTGCAGAGCAGGTACCCCCTGTCACCAGGGCTCAGTGGCTCTTTGGGAGATGTGTCAGGGCCAGTCTGGGCTCAGCAGGGGTGGTGGCTCATTTATACCCCGTGAAACCTCAGAGAAATACAGGTAACTCCCCATTGGGTCCCTGACATCAAAAATGGGGCTGCCCTGCTGTATTCTACAGGAGCCTGCAAAAATCCAAACTCTTCATTTTAGGCAAGCTTTTGATATAGGTAAGATTCTCAGAGAGCAATTTAGTTATACCAAAATGAGATTAGAGCTTGTTCTTCCACAGCTTGTTGTTCTGCTTGCAGTTCCAGGAGCTGAGCACTCCACAGTTGCCATAAATCCCCCCTGCAGATAGCTCTGGATGTCCTCTGAACAATACAGCTGTTAGAGCTTTTGAGCACCCCCAGGAAAATCAAGATGTTGCACCCGTGTGAAATCTGTACCTCTGTGCTCCTGGAATTGGATCATTCATCCCATTCCAGCACAAGGTTTGATTTGGCTGCCTTCTGCTCCTACCTGTCTGTGTGCATCAGCTGGAAAGGAAGGAGTAGGGCTGTTCAGAGTCAGACCAGCGCATCCTGAATGCCACTGCCTGAGGTGAATCCCGTCCTGAACAGAAAATCAATCCCTCTGCATTTCCGTGTTTCCATCCCAGCCCAAAAATATCCAAACTGTGCTGCCATTTGGTGTTAAATCAGCCCTTCTGCAGCCTGCTGATCCCTGCAGGTCTGGAACATATTTCAAACCTGTGAGGCCATTGACAACTTTTTCACCACCTCAGCAGGGGCACAGTGACATCACTGCAGTTGGTGTGTGGCAGAAAACCTGCTCTTGGGTCTGGCTGGTCTTTAATCAGGACAAATTGGGAGATGTCTGTTGAAATAACATGTGAAACAAAGCAGAGTTTGCTATACAGGGATTAGGGAGCAGAAGCAGGGACTCCCATGGACCAGGGGGAAGGTGCTTCCTGCATGGTGATTAAAGAAATGCTCCTAAAAGGCCTTTAGTGCTGACTGAAGCAGTGACTCTCAAGAGCCATGCTTGGTGTGGCCTCTGCTGTGCTTGGTTAAGTGTTTGGTGCATCAGCCCCTGTGACAGGCACAGAAAGGCACTTCCAGAATGTTCTGGGTGGATCTGGGGTCAGGAATTCTGCTTTACTTGGAGCTGACACCTGAGCAGAGGGGTGGCCACAGTGCTGTGTAATCCCACAAGGTGGGCAAGGGTCCAAATCATCCACCTGCTCATGAATAAACGTCCTTAGGGGAGAAGCCTCTTTTCCCAGATGGAGAATGCATATCGAATGTTGGGGAAACTGGGATTTCTGCAGCCTCAGGGGCTGGGGGGCGCTGAAAATCTAGACCCCCCCGTTTAACCCCTGGCATAACCCCGCTGGTGTGGTGGTTTTGGGGCTGGTTTGGAGGGATGGCCGCGGTGCCGGCAGATGGCAGTGCCTGTCAGAATTCCACTGTCGGGAGCCTCGGGAATGTGCCCGAGCCGGGCTGGGCACACACCTCCCAGGGCAGCAGAGACCCTCCCGAGCCCACCCTGCTGCCCATCCCCGCCTTCCCAGCGCGGCCACACGGGATGAGCCTGCGGGATGGGGAAGGGAGGCTCCCCCAGCCTGGGCCATGACCACCAGCCTTGAACAGACTCCGCTCCTCCAGGGCTGCTGTCCGGCCAAAACAAAGATTCCTTCTACATTTCCTAGCGCAAAAATTCATTCCAAATCTTATTAACAGAGATGAGATGAAGGAAGAAACAGAGCTGATGCCATTCTGAAGGTGGCATTGTCCTTAGTGCTGGGGAAACAGCATCCGGGGACCTGCTCTGAAAGCCAACGCTGTGATTCAGGGGGGCTGACTCTCCCACTGGATGAATTTACTCTTCAGTGATTTTTAAGTACGTTTGAATGCTCATTAAAAATACCCAAACTGTATAATAACTGTATAAAAAATACCAAGCTGTACTTCCCAAACAGCGCTTTTAGGAGGTTATCACAGGCATACCCCTAAAAGGTAAAAGTAATTCTGCTGAAAAGACATTCCTGGCAGTTATGAGCAGACAGAAGATCTGATGGAATTTCACAGGATTTGATCAACAGTTCATTACCATGGCCTTTGCTTTCATTGCAGGTGGTTTTGCTGCTGATTGGAATTCAGTCCTGAGCTGTTGCAGCCTTGCTGGGCCACCCTGAGCTGCTGCTGGGGAAACAGGAGCCAGGCTGGCTGGGCTGAGCTCCCTGCCCACGCCGTGCTGGAGTGGGAAATACAAACTAGCACGTGGAAAAGCAAAATTACATCTGCAAAACTGATTTTTGATGGCTGAAATCCTTGGTCTGTCTCCAGATTTCTGTCCCATCTGGACAGATCTGACATCCAGAGCAGAGAAGCAGAGCACTGATAAAAGGAGTGTGTATATAGAGATGGGCTTTTTTCTCCCAGTCCCTGGGCAATAGGACTATTAATAATATTCAAACCTGTGGTTATTTCCCTTTCTTCAGCATGTCTGTCCTTGATTTTCCCAGTCCAGTCTCCATAATAAGGTGTTATGTAGCTTAGATTTAAGCTAGTTAGGAACCAAGTTTTCTGACCTACATGAAGTTCCATTAGTTCCCCTCTTCCCAAGGAAATAAAAAAAAAAGCAAATAATAAATTGTAAAATGTCTATATAGGAAAGTAAAAATATCATTCCAATGCTGATGTATTTCATTAGTGATAGTGTAACTTTTAAGAAAGATAAATTGAAAAATCATTCAAAGCAGAACAAAAAACAGCTTGCAGATCCCAGCAATACCTGCAACAGTGCTTTGGTTTGGGTAAATTCTCTTTTCCTGACCAGGAAAATCTTCTGTGAAAGCTTTTCTGGTGGGCTGTAATGTGGGTGCTTCTGGAATAGGGAATCAGGGAGGACAGAGGACAGGACTGTGGGAACAGGGCAACAAAGCCTGGGGGTAACCTGCAGTCACCAGGCAGATCTGCCAGAGATATGCAGCTGGCCTGACATTTGCTTTTCAGAAAAGGAAATATTTCACTAAGCTGGGGAGACAGTATGGCATTATCAGCGACAAATAAAAATAAAATAAAATAGAAAAAATAAAATAGAAAAAATAAAAATAAAATAAAAATTAAAAATAAAATAAAAATAAAACTAAAATAAAAATAAAACTAAAATAAAAATAAAATAAAAATAAAAATAAAAAAATAAAAATAAAATAAAATAAAATAAAAAATAAAATAAAAATTAAAATAAAAAAATAAAAAATAAAATAAAATAAAATAAATACTGAAGCTCTTTGAGAGCGCTCCCGGGGACTGGGCTGGATCCCAGGCAAGCCCCACAGTTCGGGCAGTAAACAGAGCCCGATGGGCGGCAGGCAGGGGAACCGCGCCGGGGGAACCTCGCCCTCCCCCTTCTCCCCACTTTCCCACAGTCCCTGCTCCAAGCCCGGCGGAGTTTCCACGGTGCCGGTGACGATTTTCACACGTGTGAAAATCCCCTCCTCCCGGATTCGGGGAGTGCTCGGTGGGACCGAGCCAGCCCAGGCGCGCTCCGGGAGGATCGGGGAGCGCTCGGCGCTGCAGGAGCCGCCCGGAGCCCCTCGCTGGCGGCCCCGGTGAGCTCGGAGGTGTTTCCCGAGCTCCCCAGGCAGGGATTCGCCTCTCCCCCTGCCCACCCTCCCGGCAGCCCAAACCCCTCCCTCGCCCCCCGCCCCTGCGCTCATTGAGAACTGATAAGGCGCCGTCACACGCAGCTCCGCGCCCTCCCTCTGCCCCAGCCCTTGAAAAGCTGGGGAGCAGCCCGGCCCCGCGGAACGGGAGAGGGCAGGAGCGCAGAAAGGCGACCCAAGGACAGGCACAAGTGGCACCGCAGCGGCGGAGGGTGAGGGCTTGGAGCGGAGCGGGGACATCAGGGATAGCCAGGGACAGGGGCGTGGGCAATCTCAGTGCCACATCGATGTTCGCTGCGAGCAGGCAGCGGGAAGGAGGCAGGAGGCAGCCCGGGGCTCCGAGGACGATCCCGGCTCCCTGGTGATGGCATGGACCGGCATCCCGCAGCCTCTCCCGGCCCCGGTGCTGCCCCCGGCCGGCTGCCCCCCGGAGCCCAGGCTGATGCGGAGCCGCTCGTAGCAAGTAAGTTACCGATTCCTTTGTTATTCCAGGTCACTCCCGATCGGCTCTCGCTGCAAAGGATCGGGAGCCCAGCAGGACAAACGCGGAGCTGTTGGGCCAGCGGGATGCCAGGCTCCTGTGTCCGAACCCGCCCGGCTTTGAGCTGTGGACGTGTTCCTGCCTAACTCACAGCTGCCACGGAACTCTTTGGGAAGGCAGGGATTGGATGCTGATCTTGGGCAAAAGCACTGTCAGATCTAAAGGTGTGATGCAGGAAAAAACATTAAAAAATAGGAACTGCTCAGATACAGGATTAGTGGAAATCACTGGAATGCAAAGGGCACCAGGAGACTGATCAGTGAGCAGCCCTGAATTGTGTGGGGTGACTCCATAATCCTTATCTGGAGTCCAAGATTAAATTCTTTCATAATTAGGATACTTACCAGTCACTTTGGAGTTACAGAGCCCTGTCAGTGCAGTTTCCAGATGAGGAAGTGGCATAGTCAGCCCTTGGAGGGGACAGGGAATGCAGTGCACTGGGAATCCCTCAGGGCTTATGGCTCTGGGAGGTAAAAGCATGACTGATTTTTTTATGTCCTGTTGCATCACTCAGGTGCCTGGGGTTCTCTTTGTGCCAGCACACGGTGGTTGGGAGCACCAGGTTAACTTTTACACAGCATCTCTCCCTTGGATTTGAACAGGGAGTTTCAGGAAACAGCTGAGAACTGCTAGAAACTGGTCCTGTCCCAAAAAACTTACCTGTGACTTTTGGAGATTGTCATCAAGCAGCTCCTTCCTCCTATACCCTTTTACTTTAAAGTAGATTTTGGATTTGTGGAAGAAGAGCTCAGAAGAAAACCAAACTGGCTTTTCTCACTGCTCCTCTGACCAGTCCAAGCAACCAGGATCTCCTGAGAAGGTGGGGAGTGTGTGGGGCAGTGTTTGTGCTGCAGGAGTTATTTCACTTCTGGGGTTCAGTTCTTTGCCTCACTATTCCTACCCTGTAGAGAAAAAGGATGAGGATAATTTCTGATTCCCATGGCAGAATATTTTCCATCTCTGGAAAGCTCCAGCCCAATTATTTGCCAAAAAAAAAAAAAAAAAAAAAAAAAAAAAGCAAACAGAGCTTTGGAGTAATATTCCAACACAACACTCCAGACTCCACTTTCCATTGGGTTTGAGGTCAGGAAAGGCACTTGGACACCTGGGACAAGCACTGGTCCTTGCCCAATGGCTTGGTATGAGGTCAGTTTGTCCCTCTGTGACTCCTGATCCTTTTCTGCAGTGGCTTCAAACACTGATGAAGGGCTTGGGGCAAAAAGAGCCTGTGTTTGGTAAATCTATCTGTGAACTTTTTGGCTGCAAGGTACTGCAGAAGTGATTAAAAAAAAAGTTTTATTGTATTTTTTTGCTGCAGATTACAGAGTGATTCTCTGTTGCTGTGATGATGAATTCCTAAACAATGAAGAATGGGAACATTGGTGCTCCCGGGGCAGGATTTTCTCCTAGAACTGAGATTCTGCTTTCCCAACGTTCAGTATTTGCTGTTCAGAGTAAACAGCCGAGAGCAGGAGAAACAGGAGTGTCTGATCAGGACGAAGGTGTCCCTGTCTTTGTTTGGTTGTGTTGGTTGAAAGACAATGGTCAGATTTTCAATGACACCATAAGGTGTCCCTAAAACAGAGCTGGGGTGAGAGGCCAGGGAAAGAGAGGCTGCAGAGTGCCTCAGGCACCGTCACTTCCTTGGTGGTGGAAGGATCACACTGATCTAGTTCCAGGCTTTATTTGTTGTTGCTAGAGAAAATAGAGAAAAAAATCATGGAAAACACCTAAGAGCACAATGTCGTGGTTGCATCCTTTGCACAGGGACTGGTCAAGCTCAAGGTCTTTCATGCAATGAAGTGCAAGAGAATTGTCTGGGAGTTACATGGATTAAATCCTCCCGTCCTTCCTGTGCAGTGGAACTGTGCCATAGGAGATACTCCCAATTTTACAGAAACTCCATATTCTCCAGTCCTTGGGCTCTAAAACATAGTAAAAGCCTGAATGATGCCTCAAAAAGTGTTTTCTAGTTTTCATCTTTTTCTGTTAAAAAAACCACACACAGTCTCTCTCCTCATCACAGTTTTGTTTCTTCACTCTTTTCTGTATAGTTCTAGAGTATTATATTTAATGCAGCTGTGAACTTGTGCCATGTGTGGTGGTTTTTATACTTCAATCCATAGATGAGGGGAAAATGTATTTGAAACCTGTAGCTATTTGAGAAACAGAAACTGCCTTCATTGGCTTTGGAAATAATCTTGCTGGGTTATTCATCTGATGGAGCAGGCTAAGGAGGCTTTGCAGAGCGATCTTCAGACACACCTGAAGCAGACAGAGATGTATTCCCTGCTGCTGGAGTGGGGGAAGGAGGAAAGAGTTCTGCAATGATTCCAGGTGCTCATTTAGGATTTTGGAACGGCTAAATGTTATTCCTGCCCTGTCACAGACTCCCAACTGAGTGTAGAAGACCCAAATGTCTTTGTGAGTGACTCCCCCATCCTGAAATATGGGCAATAGAGCCCAGGCATCTTGGGAAATACATAAATAAGATTTTACAGCACATGATACCTGTGTTGAGTGCTGTGAAATACTTGGATACTCTGGGAGTGGGAGAGTCACGTTCCTCCCTCACAACTGACAGGATATCAGAGGAGAAGGATGGATTGGGAGGTAACTCATGGGTAAAAGGAAAGTGAAAATGTCCATAAACCCTTCCTTGGGGTCAGATTGGCTCCCTGGCCAGAGATTTTCTTTGGAAAAGCACCTTCTGTTGGGGTATTCTGAGCCAGGAGCACTGTGGGCACACAGGAGCTGTCACAGCCCAGCTCTGTGACAAGCACAAAGCCACCCTGGCCCTGCAGGTGAACTGGCAGCCGCTCATCTTTGTGTCCTGGTGGCAGGGTGAGGGCTACTCCAGCCCCAGAGGAATCTGCTGTCTCATCCTGAGTGTCAGGAAAGTGGTGCTGGGACTTGCCAAACACTCACAGAGGAGATGAGAGGCACCTTCCCAGCTCAGTGCTGAGCGAGGTGACACTTGGAGAGGCAATTACTGGGGTCAGGGAGCTTGTGAACCACATTTGTTTGTGGAGTGCCTCGGGTCTCCCTTCCTGTGCAGTGTCTTTGAATCTTTTTCCCTGGCTTTCAAGAGCACAACTTTTCTTCAGCCTTCCCTCCACCTGTGGATCTTCAAGCACTTCCCAAAGAGGCAGCCACCAAAACCCCAAACCTATAAAGTCAGAAAGATGGACTTTACCCCAAATCCACCTGCCTTTCCTCACCTTGCATGCACAGGTGTGTGTGGCAAGGCAGTCAGGTGGAGCTGACTGTTCAGTCCCACTCACACACAGGCAGTGAGTGAAAGGATGGAGGAAGGATGCCTTTCTCAGGGAAATCAAAGCCCCACCTCAGTCCGAGCCTATCTCAAGTCATTTTTCTTCGGAGTGTCAAAGGCCGTCTTCTCCTGAGATTTCTCTTTCCTCCATCTTCCCATGAGCACTCAGTGTTCAATAGCCAATGCTTTTATTCTCTTCAGGTGCTGCTGCTTTCATTTCCTTTATTCCTGCACCTGCTTTCCTATGTTCCTATGTTTCCTTCCTGTCTGACAATTCAGAATTTCATTCCCTTGCAGAACTGTAACCTAAAGCAGAATTATGTGGCCCAGAAGAACCTGGGCACAGTAACCTGCTTTATGTGGTGTGGGCCAGCTGGCAGCAGAAGAACCAGGTCAGGTTTTTTAGTAATCTCTGTTCAGTATTACTGGTTGCTTGTTGAGAAGTACAGGACTCATTGTCTGGAAAAAAAAGACAGGGTTAAGTGAAAAAAAAAAAATCTTCTGGGAAGGTGTGGGAGGTTTGCTAAAGAACAGTTGCTCAATTATTCTCCTAATGTGAGAAAACACAGGCATCGGGTTTAAAAGAAACAAAAAGAAGTCTGCTTTTACACAAACTTGATGACAAATTCATGTCTTTAAACTCCACCTGCCTGCCAGTTTAGTCCTTTCCAGCATCAAATCCCATCCCCATGGAAATTTGTGTGTTTACTGCAGCAATTGTTTAAATGGAAAAGGCCCCCTGGTCAGCAAGGAAAGAAGTTTCTTAAAGTGTTTTATTTCCTTGATGTCTCTGGCAAATTGCTGGAGCTGCCAGGAGCACATCAGCTCTGTCAGGAGGGGCTGGGAGCTGCTCTGCAGAACACTGCTGCCTGGAGATTCTCACCTAACCCCAGCCTGACTCCTGTGCAGCAAATCCCAGCCCCTAAATGTCACCGCCTGCCCCGAGTGTGTCATCTGGGCAGAGCTGGACATCAACACGGCTGATAAAAACCTCTCTGCAAGGCTGATAATGCACTGACTCACAGCTCCTCATGCAGTAGCCTGTCCTAAAGGAAGGGAGCTTTGTTCAGAAGTGACATTTTTATTATCCTGGCCTCCTTTAACCAAAGATGGTAAATGCCAAAGAAACAGAAGAGTGCCTGTAAGAGGCAATTTCACCTCCTGGCTCTCTGTGCTGGAAGGAGCAGGCATTCACGGACTGGAGCTGAAATCTCTGGGAGATGCATGAATACATTTACCATGATATGGCAGAGATGTTCATGCCTGGCAGCAGTGGCTGTGTGCTACACAATGAAGGGTTAACCAGGTCCTTACACAGTTACACTGCTCCTTTCGTTTGGGCTAAAGCTCCCCAGGGCAGTTAAAATCATAAAGGAATGACAACAAATTTCCTGGAAGATTCTCGTGCCTGGGAATCTCATAGACCATTCACATCCACATCACAAATTTTACTGTTGCGGAATTAAGGCAGAAGGAAAAGCAGTGATTTGCTGAGAATTAGAAAACCCTGGAATCCTTTGGAACAGAAAGTTGGATAGTGTGCAGCCATCCAAAGCTGTGCTCAAACTGCTAACCAGGAGCATTCTATTTAAAGACTCTGAAGCAAAAATTCAAATGCTTAATTATTTTCAATAACCACAGACTCAGGTTATGCTCATATTGCAATGGGAGAGTTAAAGATTAAATATTGGTAGAAATAGTAATGCCACTGAAGCTGTCAGTGAACTTTTTATCCAGCAGGAATTTTTCTGCTTTACTGGATCACTTGGAAAATGTTCCTGAAGATTTGCAGGGATGTTTCAGCTGAGCTGTTGCTGGAGATCAGTAGCACCACCAGAGATGTTGCCAGCCCTGTGAGTGTTTTAGTTCAAAAGATTCCTCCGTACATTCTTTAAAGGGCGATTCCTCAAACCTGCTCCACCAGAGTGATCTTTCCAGGGATTCAGGATTTTTGGTTGCTTTTCCTCTATTCTGTTCTTTGTAATAAGTTTTAAGATCCCTTTGGTCTCTTTGGTGTAAATCTAGAACATGAAATCTTCCACTCTAGATTGAAGTCTGGAACTGGATTGTTCTCTCTCCCATGGTGCCAGTGATAGCTTCAAATTTACTTTTATAACAAAATTATTTTTAAAACAAGTCTTGAAACCAACAAGCAACACTTGCTTTACATTTAGATTGATGACAAGCTTTTTAGTCCAAATGAAGTAATTTTAGATTAATCAATCAATGCTAATATACATCAAGAATATTATTTTTAAGAAGGAAGCAAGGAGATTCTTCACTACCTGATTCCCAGTGGATGGGAGGCTTCTTTCCTCGTTAAAGAGGGGAAAAAAGTGTGTTATTGTTCTGCAATGTGCTTTCACATGTTGGGAAGTGAGAGTCAAGCTGTGCCCTTGCCAGTTTTCAACATCTTGTAGCACGTTGCACACGTGTGAAGAGAGGAAGTTGACGGGAGAGCCAGGCCAGTGGGTCTGGAGGTTTCCATTGCAGCAGGCAGTGAAAAGCAGCTGAGGATGTGTGTGATACCCCGAGCCGGCTCTCAGGAGGGACAGAAACAGAAGAGGGGTGACTCTTCTACCAAAATCCTGGCTGCTTCCCCTGGAGGAAGGGGACACACAGCACTGGGATTATGCACCCCATGTCCCGGTTTTCTATCCCAGAGCTGAAATCCCCATTCCCTGCCCCTTGCCGTGGCTGCAGGGCTCGGCAGTGCACAGATGGTTTGGGCTCCCTGCAGGCAGAGCCAGCAGCCCTGGTTCCAGCACCAGGCTCGGCTGCTTCGTTGGAGCGGTGATTGATGGTGACTTAGACAAGGGCCACGAGGAATTCTCTGCCATTAACCAGACTTGGCTGCAGCCGAATGGAAGTGATAATTTGTTGCTTCATTTATTCATCCTGCCTCTGCTTCCTTCCCGCCCACCCTTTGTGCTTTTTAATACTGAAAAGATGAAGCTACTTTGCTCAGTCTTAAAAATTGTCTCTCCCAAGATACTCTTAATTGTATCTCTACACCTTTTCTCATTCACAGGAGCATAAGAAGATTAAAGATAGAGGGAGCAGTAATAGATTTAGTTAGGTTTTAATAGGATTTGCAGAGGACAATGCAGGGAATGAACGCCATAGAAAATATTGCTGCTCTATCTTTGATATCCCTAAGGCTCCTTAGGTAGTCTTTGACAGAGATTTTGTCTGTGCCCTGCATCCAGAGTCAAGACTCTCATTTTTTAAAGGAGTATGTAATCATCTCAGTAAACAGGATGTTACATTACAACTGGCAGAAAGCACTGCCGCCTTCATCTTGTGTTATTTATTTGTATCCTGTTAAGTATAACTCGGAATGTCGACAGTGGGCTTTTTAATAACTCTCTGATGCATTCCTAAAAGTGCCCAGTGATTTTGTCTAATGTCAGGTGGAGCAAAGGGGTGAGCTCTGATAGATCTCATTAGCAGCAGGCCTGGATTCATCACACCCTCACACATGGGATTCAAGATGCTTAATTAAATGTTTACTTCATGTTTAAAACCCAGGCTTACAAATAAACTTCCAGAAGGTGATTCAGCACTCCTGAAATCTGAATTATCCCTGGAGATACCTTTCTCTGCTGACTGCAAGGGAAGCCTTCATGCATAATTTAGACTCATGTGAGAGTTAGGTAGACAATGGTACTCAGCATTTTCTCTTAATTTCTGAGGTTTCTCTTGATATGCACCCAAAACCTGAGGCATGAAAAAGCTCCAGTCCCTCCTGAAAAGATGTTGATGTATCTTCACTTTGTTCCGAGTTGTGATCTTAAGCAAATTTGGTGTGTAAAAAAATCTAAGGACAAGAAAATACCCCAAAATGTTCCAAGATTTAACTGTTCCACACTCCCACAGAGTGCCCATCACCCCACAAGTGGCTGATGTTGGAAGGGCCTCTGTGTTATAAATCAGTCTTTAATTCCAGGTCACTGCAAGGCTGTGTTTAACAAGTGGCAGTTGTGAGAGAAGTGTGAACCCTCCAAAAACAACATCCTGATGGTCCAGATAGTGAAACAAAAGGGCTTTTGTCTCTTTGCCTTCTGCCTGAAACTCTTTCCTTGTTGTGCAGCCCAGCCATGGCTGGAGATTCCCGGATCTTCATGAACCAGGACATGGACATTGGGGTCACATCCCGGGAGCCCAAGAAGATCCCCAAGCAGGCTCGGGATGACGTCCCCATCGCCACGGACAGGACCCGGCTCATTTCCGCCGAGGGCAAGAAGCCACGGCAGCGCTACATGGAGAAGAGTGGCAAGTGCAACGTGCACCACGGGAACGTCCAGGAGACCTACCGGTACCTCAGCGACCTCTTCACCACCCTGGTGGACCTCAAGTGGCGCTTCAACCTGCTGGTCTTCACCATGGTGTACACCATCACCTGGCTGTTCTTTGGGTTCATCTGGTGGCTCATCGCCTACATCCGGGGAGATCTGGACCACCTGGAAGATGAGAACTGGATCCCCTGCGTCGAAAACCTCAGCGGATTTGTGTCGGCGTTCCTGTTTTCCATCGAGACCGAGACGACCATCGGGTACGGCCACAGGGTCATCACAGAGAAGTGTCCCGAGGGCATCGTGCTGCTCCTGGTCCAGGCCATCCTGGGCTCCATCGTCAACGCCTTCATGGTGGGATGCATGTTCGTCAAGATCAGCCAACCAAAGAAGAGGGCAGAGACCCTCATGTTCTCCAACAACGCCGTCATTTCCATGAGGGATGAGAAGCTCTGCCTCATGTTCCGGGTCGGGGACCTCCGCAATTCCCACATTGTCGAGGCTTCCATTCGAGCCAAACTGATTAAGTCCAAGCAGACCAAAGAAGGAGAGTTTATTCCCCTGAATCAAACGGACATCAACGTGGGATTTGACACCGGAGACGACAGGTTGTTCCTGGTGTCCCCTCTCATCATCTCACATGAGATCAATGAGAAAAGCCCCTTCTGGGAGATGTCCCGCACCCAGCTGGAGAAGGAGGAGTTTGAGATTGTGGTCATCCTGGAAGGAATGGTGGAAGCCACAGGTAAGGATGTGTCAGCAATCAGTCACTGTTTTGGGGAGGAAAGGAGCACAGTGCATTGCGGGCAGTTTGGCATTAGGTTGTCACTGTCTGTGTCACCTGGACTGGGAACACAGTGAGGTTTGTCCTTGGGTAGTGCCTGACTCAGGTGGGGTGTGTGAGATAACCAGTAGTGAAAAATGGGGCCTTTAGCTCATGCTGTAGGGTTTCACCCTCTTTTTTTGTAGTGCTTCACCCTCTTTTATAAATCTGGGATTGAGGTGAATGGGTTAGTCCTAGAGCTGCCCATAATCAATTAGAACTGATCCAGGGGAGGAAAAGCAATGGATTAAAGGAATTCTTGAAGTCCCTGGTGGTCCTGTTTCCTGTGATCAAAATTCATGGTGCAAATCTTTCCCCATTTCTCCTCTGTATTAAAGATTGGCTGTAACTGTGCTATTTTAGGTACTGCTGTAGTGTTGATTTTAATGGGTGCTATGAAGTGCCCAAGTCTCACTGTATCCCATAAAGCAGCACGTGCTGAGGCTGAATGACTTGCACGTGGTGCAGGACACACATTCCCAGAAGGAGCTCAAAGAGGATAAATACAGAAACTGCTTTTCTGACTCTTGCAGCCCTGCAGCTGCTGAACAGCTCAGACAAAGCTGGGTAATGGGAGATTAGGAGATATCCTCAGCCATTCCCAGTTTCGTCCTAGGGGTGTATTTGTGACAGGCAATAAAAGAACTCTGTGTCTGTGTATAGTGAATCTGGAAAAGCAGTAAGGCTCAGCTTTCCAGGGAGCAGGAAAGGCAGCTGAGGGGAGGGATGGGCACACAGGCTCCTTCCCACAGGAGCTCTGCCTGGCCAGGCAGCTGCACCGTGGGCCATTTCCACTTGTGTGAATCCCTTTGCTCCAGGTTTGGGGAGGAGCTGGAAGCTCTTCCTGCTGCACTTGTGGCACAGCGAGTGTGCCCAAGCCCCTGAGATGCTCAGGTCCCTTCCAGGCAGGGGTTTCCAGCTTGGGGTAGGCAGAATGCCTTGATGGAATCAGGGTCTGCAGGGGGAAAGGGCTGCTCTCTCTGAGGAGAGCTCTTCTGGCTAAAGATGCACAAAGTCAGAGATGCAAAAAAAAGCTTTTACAAGCAGTTTTCCCCTTTGGTGTTTCAGGATTTTAGTTATGAGCCCAGGGTTTTCCTGTGGGTGGTGGTTGGATTTGTTTTCCATCTCGATGAGGTTCTCTCTGAGTCATTAGCAGGGGTTTTCAGCTTGTTACAAGTACTCAGTGGTGTCAGCACCCTGTCTCACAGATTCTGCCCTTTGCTGACTGTTATCCCCTCCTGGAGATTTGCTCATTAGTCTCCCAACAGCCAGAGGAGGAAAAATCTCACAAATTCCTGCATCCCAAACCTTTGCTCTCAAAGACAGCTGTCTAAGAGGTAATTCAGTGTCCCAGAGTCTCCCTTTAGTAGCTGTAGCTGACTTTCACAAACAGAGCTGATGGGAGGTGATTGATAAATTGCATTCCACTGGGGCTGGAGTATGTGCTATGGAAGTGGAATTCACCTGGCATTTCCAGGAAAATGTTCTTCCCCAGCAGAGCGTTGTAGAGACATGGCAAAGGAAGGGGTGGGTGGAAAAGACTATCAAAGGCAAGGATTTGTAACAGTGATTTATTCCGCAGCCTAAACATTTATTAGAGGCTGGAGCCTCCTAATCTGAGCGTGGAATGCAGCTCCTTGTTTGTCCAAAGCCTCTTTCCTCATCACACAGTGACACTATAAATGCTTTGAACCCCTGCTGCTCTGCCTTCCTCGCAGGAAGGCTCAGCCTCTGCTGGGGATGTGTGAGAGGAAGTCATTATCAATAACAACCTCGGAATTAAAAGCATGGCAGAGGAATAATATTGCTTTACAAATGGGCTCCTCTCCCAGAGGGATTGCACAGACCAGGCTGTAAGGACATTAAGGAGCATACATCTGTGGAAATGAATTATCCTGAGCTCAGAAGGCAGCCTGGGAAGTCCCACACTGGAGCTGGAGGAGGTGTTTTTCACTGAACTCAAAGCTGAGTGGACCTTGGATGATTCCAGAATCCAATTTGGAGGCTGAGATGGGTCCTGAGGGACCTGTGGCAGCCAGAGGCGTGGGATATTTTGTCACAAGAATAGTGGCTTGCAGAAACAGTTTTTGTGTTTTCCTGCTTCATGCTCACACTTGGGAATATTGATAAAACACTTTGGGGTTACTAAACCCCAAATATATAGGGATATATGGATACATAGGATATAGGGATATATAGGGATATATGGAGGGATATATGTTATCCCTCCACACCTTAAAATCTGCTCCAAGCAAATTCTTCAGGTCCTTCCCAGCCCATGGCACTGCTCAAGCCCCATCTGCTCTCAGGAGTGGTGTGATATTTACTCCCAGCTGGACTTCTGTTAAATCCTGACACCGTCACAGCCTGGTCAGATTCAGGGCAGTGTAAAATACAACAGAACATTTGTTCCCTTAGCAACCCCTATGGAGAATTAGGAATCCACCCTCCAGAGTTCAGAGGTACCACTGGTCAGAATATACAGCTCTGTTTTCCATAAGGTGTTTGGAAGGCAGGTCAGAATGGTCATTGGCAAGATATCAATGACTACAGAAATTTAAGCATGACTAAAAGTGGGGATATTTTTCACTGATCATTTGGGACAGTGATTTTGTAGCTATTTTCAGTAGATTTAACCAGGCACACACATATTACAAATGTAATGTATTGTCTCCTCTCAAACAAGCAGCTCTATTTACTGACATTTAAGTTTAATTCTGACCCAGTAGAAGGCAAAGATGGTAAATAGCTTCAAATGAAAAGTGTAGAGTAAATTCTGAGGAGTTCACACCCTTCAAGTCATTGGGTTTTTACAAAGTGAAACACTGTGGCTTAAAAAAAAAAAGATTGCGTTCAAATTGTCTTGGCTTTTCAAAGGCCTGAGTAACAGCACACTGAAGAACAGCAGCTCACCAGCCAGCCTGAAATGCTGTGGGTTCATTTGGGTGAGGAAGATAATACATGTGGTGTTATTGCAGTGAGAGCTCCACAGAGCCAGCCATGGCACAAAGGCAGGCGTGCCTTTCCCCATCCATATCTGGGATGGGAGAGGCTCTGTGGCTCTGCCAGCCCATGGAAAAGGCCAAAAGGAGAGTGAATTTCTGGGCAGATCTGATGTGGTCGTTGCTGGGTGAAATAAGCACTGTGAAGACAAAATCAATATTGCTGACAGGAGTTCTGACTCCCAGGGCTGCTCCGTGGGCGTCTCGGGGGCGGCAGCATCACCCGCAGTGCTCCTGAAGAATTGGGCACAGGGATTACCTCAGGGAATTCATTATCTTCACCTTATCACAAAGGGACTCTTGTCAGGATCAGCTGCCCCAAATCTGATCTGCAATAAAGGGGAACAAATCAAAGGTGGGAAATCCGTTTGCACAGTGAATAAATTTTTCCTTTCCCTGCCTCTCTGCTTCCCAAAATCTCAGGGCCACCCTGGTGACAGGACAGCTCCCGATTGCTGCTGGCCAAAGCTCCTGCCCTTCCCCTGCTGATCCCAAAGTGAACAGAGTGTTCTAAAGCTGCTGGGACAGGGAAGAGCAGGGGAGGTCCAGGCCCCCCTCCCATGTGTTGCAGAGTCAGCTGCCTTGTGATGAAGGATTTGGCTGATCCAGTTAGGGAACATTAGCAAGTCCAATTTTTTTTAAATAATGTTTTTCTCTGTAAGCCATCACTCCATGTGCTGACACTCTGCATATCTTACAGGACTTTCTGGCAGATAATTTGAAGGGACTCTTTTCCAGCTTTACCCTTCCTCTGCTATTTGCTGACAGTTACCCAAATCCTGCTTTTTCTGTAGCTTCCTGCTGCCCTCACTCCCTGGGCACCTTGTCCAGCACTGCTGCTCCCTGGGCATGGAGGTGACAGAGCTTGTTACTCCACTCCTGGTCCTCCGTGGTTTTCACTGCCTCTTTTTCCCAGCACAATTAAATAAGGCACAAGAGACGCTCCAGATGCCTGATTAGTCTAGTCACTAAATGAAGTTTTAATGGACTCTTATGTAAGTACAGGTATATATTTTTCTGGCTTAGAGTCAGTGTGATAAAAGGGGATTTAATGATTAGAAGTAATTAACCCATCCTGTCCCTGTGGGAGTGTAGGCAAACAGCAGAGTTTTCACACCTCAATTTATCCACCTTTGCAGAGGTCAGAGTGTGGTTTCCTGGCTGTAAATGTAGGGCCAAACGGAGTAGTCACAACAAAAGATACGCTGAAATTAATCATGATTTTCATGGGAGCACAAAGGAAGAGTGAAATTACTGAATGGAGTTTCTGAGCATTCATCATCTGGTTTGGGTTGTCTTGTGTTGTTTTGCATTTTGCATATGAATAAGTTTTCTGCAAGGAGGACCTTGCAGAAGTGCTACAGAAACAGCCTAAAAATGATAGGGAAGAGATGTCTCAGGTGATGGTGTTCATGAGCAGGACTGTCCTCTGGAGGAGAGGCTGCCTGAGGTGCCTCTGCAGTCACTGCAAACCCTAGAGAAGTTTCTGCTCTGGGCGTGGCTCGGGCTGGGCCTGCTAGAGACATGGCAATAGAATCCAAGGTCTTTACATCATAAAGTCCTTTTATTATATTTTTCTCAGTGCCTAGGAGCATTTGTATGCCTGGAGAGCATTCAGATAAATTAAAATCCTATTACTCTCCTCTGGCATAAATATCAAAGTGAATCAAGCCCAGCCATGTCCTCTAAAGGAGACAAACACGCATAACTGCAGGACCAGGCTCCTACTTTCTAATATTTCTTTTCAAGTTGAAATAATATTGACTTGTTGGAGGTTACAGTGTTCTTTGGTCTAATTAACACAGAGGGATTAATAACTTTTATAACTTACCATATGCTAATGTAAATTAAAAGACACATATTTCTTAATTACAGCAATAGAATTTAAATTTTTTATACCTTTTCCTTGCTACCCATAAACTTCCATTGCTGCCACTGCACCTCTGAGGCCATCATTTCCTGGGCAGTGGGTGTTCCACAGCTTCAGAGCATCCAGGAGAAGGAGAAAAGTCATCCTGGACACAACAGAATGGGCAAACAAGGGCAGAGGAGGGAGATCACTGCCAGCAGTGTCCGTGTCGGAGGGGCCTGAGCAGATCTGGCCCAGCCCAGGCAGCCACATGACATTTCCCAGCAGATAATCACTGAGCTCCCTGGCATTTCAATGAGCACAGTTAATTTTAGCCCGATGAAAAATGTTGTCTTGACAGCCCCAGGGGCTGGGATATCTCTGCCCACTGAGGAGGTTCAGGCCATGGAGCAGCACTGGAAGATTCACCTCTGCTTGGGATGGGATCCCATTGAAGCCTGGGGAGATTTTAGGGTTGGCAGAGCACCCTCTGTGTCTCCCTCTGCTCTCCCATTAACCCTCTGGTGAGGTCACCCGGCCAGGATGGGATGTTTGCCAAAAATCAGCATCCTCCAACAGCTGCAGAGAGCCTTTGGTGGCCAGCAGACAGCTGCAGATGCAGATTTGGGGCAATAAGGCCCAGCTTTGTCTGGGCTCCAGGAGCACGTCCCCTTTGCCAGCCCCAAGCTCGGCTCCAGTGCAGGAGCAGCAGGATCCCCCCGTGCAGCCCCTGCTCCTCGGCAGCGCGCTCAGCCATCCCCAGCTCTCTGATAACTGTGATGACAGCAAAGAGCCTTACTGGAGAGATCCCTGGCACTTGTTTTACACCACGGAGCTTCCTCTGCTCTCAGATGTGATGAGACACCTGCTTTAATACACATCACAATCTAGTCTGGATCTTTCATCTGCTGGGAAGCAGAACGGAGCTGTTTAGGAAGGATCCCTGGCTGCCTTAAGCAGGAACAGACACAGCTCAGTTATTGATCTGTGGCTCCAACCCACAGACAAAAAATCCACTTCTTAGGATTCTGATATAATGAAATTATCATTAAAACTCTGTGAAATGTTTGAAACCAGGACACAGTGCCCTTGTCTCTAGCATCTGTAAAACCTGGAAATGGTTCCAGCTTTATTGAAAACTTGATGCACCTAACTTTGAACAAGTTTTATCTCTGGTTTCTATTAAAATTCAGTTTTGTTTGCAACATGAAGCTGAGCTGCTGCATTAAGAGATGAGAAAGCTGCAACTGAAAGTTGACATCTGAAGATTTCTAATATCATTCCATGTTTTCCACAATACATTTGCACACATTTACATTAAACATACTTTTTAATTTTTAAACCAGATTTCTTAGGAGAAAATGAAACTTCTAATGATCTCACAACTCAGAAAATATGATAGAGTAGAAAAATAAATGTCTATAATTTCAAGTACATCTACTTGGACTGAAAGAAGGAAAATGAGGATGTAGGGCTATGAAAATGACGGGATGGAGCAGCTCTCCTATGAGGCAAGGCTGAGACAACTGGGATTGTTCAGAAGAGAAGGCTCCAGGGAGAGCTCAGAGCCCCTGCCAGGGCCTAAAGGGGCTCCAGGAGAGCTGGAGAGGGACTGGGGACAAGGGATGGAGGGACAGGACACAGGGAATGGCTCCCAGTGCCAGAGGGCAGGGCTGGATGGGATATTGGGAAGGAATTGTTCCCTGTCAGGGTGGGCAGGCCCTGGCACAGGGTGCCCAGAGCAGCTGGGGCTGCCCCTGGATCCCTGGGAGTGCCCAAGGCCAGGCTGGATGAGCCTTGTTTGGAGCAACCTGGGGCAGGGGAAGGTGTCAATGTTTAGTGTCCTATCCAACCCAAACCATTCTGGGATTCTGTATTCTCTTGGCATGAAGTTTATTTAAATGAAACCCCCGAACACCACTTCTCTGTATCTGCACCGTTTAAACCCAAAATGGGTAGTTATACATTTTTTTAAGGAAAGGATTAATAACCTTTTTCAGGGCCATACATACTATGGGTAATTCTGCAAGAAATTTGGAGAGTCTGGAATCTCTCTTGTGTTCTCGTGCTCCCCGAAGTGTCAGTGCTTCATGGCTGCATGAGTGATGTAGAAGAGCAGTAATGTCACAGCTGCTGTGGTTCCCAGATCTGGGTCTGCTTGCCACCGGGAGTTGCACTTGGTGATCTTTGTGGCTCCCTTCCAGTTCAGGGTAATCTGAATTCTGATTCTACCTGATGGATGGGAGCATATGGCAAATGATTCCCTGTGCCCAAGGCATCCCACAGACTCAGATAAACCAGAAATCTGCAGTTAAGCAGGTGATTTTTTCAGGGATGCACAGAGGTCTGAGTCTGGGGATTGCTGTGCCCCACTGCAAGGTGGCACTGGGATATTCCGAGCACAGAGGTAGCACGTTGTGTTCCAGTGGCAAGTGGCTGCATTCATGTGCTCTTAATAAAAATAAGGTTTATTGTTTCCACACCTCTTCTGTCATCTTTTTGCAGTCACAGAGGCAATAATTAGCTAGGGACATTACAGATGCATTAATTAACTAGGCTGGAGAGCACAGGGCAGCCTGCAAAGCAGGCACTTAATGGAATTTGAAGCAGATACAATGGTGTTGTTTACTGGGTGATGTGGGAGTTGCCAAGCAGTGTGTCCCCACGCAATTAAACACCACTGCACATGTGCTAAAAAGGAATATTTGAATGGGATTATGGAGCAATTACAAGTTGTCTTATTGTACTGGCTCAGTGTCCCCCTGGGGTTCCAGAAAGCAGCTCCTGCAGGAAGCTGGCAGCAGCAGTGTCTGGTTGCTGAAAGCTTTCCATTGTTCCTGCCCTAACTGAATATTTAGAGCGGGACTGGGATGGTGTCCCAGGAGCTCAGGTTCACTCAGGTGCTCCCCCAGTGTTATAAATCCAGAGAAGGAGCTATTTCAGGCCCAGATGACAAGGCAGGAGCTCCCTTAGAGAGCCCCAGACCCATATTTCACAAGGACCCCCATCTTTGCCCTGGGGACTCCTTCATGGTACCTTGATGCAGCGCTTGAGAAACCAGGATAAGAATCAGCTGGTTCACAGTGACACAGCTCCGCTGGGAAAACCTGTACCAGGACTGGGAAATCAGCAGGACCCCTCAGGCTGCCAGGGAGTGTGAAGCTGGCCCAGGGCAGGAGGGCTGGCCCTCTTCACCCCAGGGCTGGTGATGCTGCACATTGTAGAACCACCAAAGTCAGGCGTGGCCTCCCCCTGTTCTTCAGCTCTAAAGCAAAAGCTGAGAGTTTCCTGAAAAGATGCTGAACTTCCATAGAGCTTCTTAAGGCAGCAACACTTGGGGTGATTTTTAATTCCCTGGCTGTGTTTTTCATGGCAGCCTCTGCACTTCCCGGATCCTTCCAGCCCAGGAAGCAGGCACACTGGAACACTGTGACTAACACTGTACTTGTTGTTCCTGCCCAGAAGCAAACACTCCTGCAGATCTTCTTGAGGGGAAAGATTGGTTTCTCAGACTATGCTACAGAACTGCAGATGTCTCAGCATTGCATGTGTCACCATCTCTTCCCCTTTCAAGGAACAAAATACTCCTGGCCTGGTAGCTTTAAACCACAGAAAGCAGTAAGAGACTTTCAGCTTTGCAGAGCACTTGCCTGTGTGGGTGTCTTTTAATGGTCTGTAGCAATTATAAGAACAAAATATTCCTTGTTCCACAAAGGTGAGGGTTTTTTTTAAAGGAAAGGGGTTTTCTGATTGCTCTGAGATTTCAGTCGCTTATGAGCTCACAGAGTGAGAATATGTGATCTGCTCTTCCCTGAAGTATCTGACACTGTGATTTTTTCCCCCTCTGCATTCCTTTTGATTTCTGTCCCTGCGCTCTGGGCTTCAGGAATTAAACTTGAAAGTATTGGGCAGAAACTGGACCAAGTGCATGCTTTGAATTGGCCAGTCAGGCCAATCCCTCGCCCTCCATGAGAGAACAGTGGGAGGACTTTGTAAGGTTAGCTTTTCACTGGAAATTAATTCCAAAACCAAAACATGATTAGGACAAAGAGAAGACAAATGTTTGGAAAAGAGGACAGTCTTGACACCACTAGGAGATTCCAAGAGGATTGGCTTGCAGGTGTGCTTATTGCTGCCCTGCAAAGCTTCTCTTTAAACTTTTTCAAAGTAAAACTCTGATCCATGGGGCTGAGAAGCAGCTTGACAAGTTCCTTGTGATTCACTGTTCATTCAATCCCCAATCCATCAGTACAACTGCTCCGGCCCTCCTAGGGAATTTAAAAGCCACCTCGGTTGGGAACCTCTCACCTTTCAGGCTGAACATTCAGGTGTGTGCAGGCAGTGCTGTACAGGAATTGTGGCAGTGCTGTACAGGAATTGTGGCAGTGCTGTGAGAGGAATTGTGTCAGTGCTGTACAGGGAATTGTGGCAGTGCTGTACAGGAATTGTGTCAGTGCTGTACAGGAATTGTGGCAGTGCTGTACAGGAATTGTGGCAGTGCTGTACAGGGAATTGTGGCAGTGCTGTACAGGAATTGTGGCAGTACTGTGAGAGGGGGATGGTGCCTGCCTTGGAGGAGGGCATGGCAGTGGCTCCCTGTATTTTGTTTTTCCCTGGGTTCTGTGGTTCGGGGCTGGGACAGCACTTGCAGGGCTGGGTGTTGTTCCAGCAGGATCCACCGGGACCTGTTGGTGTCAGCCTCACAAACAACACCTCATCAGAGCAGGGGGAGGCAGAGAGAAGCTACTTAGATGTCCCAGCCTACAAACCCCTAAGCACGAGGTTCAGGAGGCAGAAGATGCAGAAGTGAATGCATCCCTTTCCCTTTGGGTGCTCAGCTTGTTCATGATAGAGGCTTTTGTGAGGCTTATTAAGCCAAGACTTTTCTGTGTCCCAGAGCAATCAGGTATGGAAACGACACGAAAGTGCTTTTAAGTGCCAGGCGTGGTTGGGTGAGCACTTAAGGAACCTTTGCCTCTAACATCCCTCTCTTTCCACCCAGGCATGACTTGCCAGGCTCGCAGCTCCTACATGGACACCGAGGTGCTGTGGGGACACCGCTTCACCCCCGTGCTCACCCTGGAGAAGGATTTTTACGAGGTGGACTATAACAGCTTCCACAGCACCTATGAGACCCACACGCCTGTGTGCTGTGCCAAAGAGCTGGCCCAGTCCCGTCGGGAAGGGCAGCTCCTCAGCCACCTGCCCAAGCTGGGCCGGGACCCAGGGACAGCCAGGGAGGACGAGGAGGAGGAGGAGGATGAGGAGGAGGAGGAGGAAGAGGAGGAGGAAGGCAGGGAGCCGGCAGGACTGAGTGGAGCCAGCGGGACAGCAGGAGAGGGGAATGAAGAGGTGCCTGTATAAGCCCGGAGCTGCTGGAGCACAGACACCCACACACCCTGCTGGGACACTGGGCTGGCCAGCCAGGAACCGACTGGGAGCCAGAGCTGCCATTCGTGTCCAGCTTTGCTGCCTGCTGCTCATCCTGGGAGTCACTGCACTGAACCGTGCCTCAGTTTCCCTTCCTCTTCCTGAGGCTCTGAGCTTTGCTCTCCTCTGCAAAGCATCTTGATCTCCATGGACAAGGCCCACTCTTCTGATCACTGTTACAAGCGAAATTCCCACCACTGGTTCAAAAGGTGTTCATTGGACGTGCAGAACTCTGCCCCTCTTGCGAGGGTGTTTCACCAGTCCAGAATGTCCCATCTCAGAAAGAAGAATGTGATTTCATACCTTCACTTAATTTGTGAGTCAATGTATTGTAGACATTGTTCCAACTAAATTAAAAGAAAAGGAAAAAACCTCTCTGCTATGTAGTGAAGTGTTTTGCCTTCATGAATTATACAAACAAATTTTAGTGTTTTCTTCCAGGATCACAGCCATTGGGATTTATTTCCTGCAAAATGTCTGATATGATTCCCTGCAGACCTTTTACATGTTTATCCAATGTTTTGTCTTCTCCAGCTGAAGTGTTTTGTGTACTCTTTCCATGGAATCTCTGACATATTTCATAGGCTTCCCTTGGCCAGGGAAAGTTTAGATTTTGCCCCAGTGAAGGCTTTTTTCTGGCCTGAATGTCCCAGTTGCAGTTCCAATTGATTATTTAAAACAAAGACCGTAGTCCCCCAGGGGTTGGAATGTTCTGGAATTTCAGAGGCTCTGGAGTAGGAAGAACTGGGTAAGTGGCAGTTTTCAAAATTTTCTGCTCTTCTGCAAAGTACATATTTAAAATAAAGGTTGAGGTGCTGATGTTCCTGCTGCTAATGGGAACACACTGACATAACTGAAGCCAACAATTTTGATCTTTAAAAAGTGGCAGAAAACCAGATTTCCCAAAGAGGATTGTTTCATCCAGAAAAGGAATAAAGGAAAGCAGTCTGTGAGATGAAAGATTTCCACAAATTTCAACAACACAGGAAAAAAAAAAAAGGCCTTGTTGGGGAAAATCTCTTCCCTTGCTCCTCAAACTTTGGTGGAAAAAACAGGCTACCTGCAGAGCTACTTCTTTAATAAAATAAAATGAAGAATACATGATATGCAAGAGCTATTTTCCATAGAGAAAGGACTTTATCTGGGGAATAAATGTGCATTGTCTGGACTGAGTTGCACACTCAGGATCTGAAATACAATTTTGCCTCTTGATTTTAATACAAAGACAAGATACACTGGAAATAGAAAGCAGTGGTCTTATTGACATGGAAACAAGGAGAATACAATCTGTAGGGGTCAGAGATACTGTTTACTTAGAGGTGTAATCTTATAATGCAGGTAAAAGAAATTTGTGGGGGTTTTTCTGAGGGGGTGGAAAAATGACCACAACATGGCTGTGTTGTACTTAAACCATGTTAGGAGCCAGCAGCCAGCTCAGCCTCCAGGGTACAGGAATTACCTCTCAGGTATACAGCACATTTCAAGGGAAGGAACTTCACTGGAAATGCTCATCAGTTCTGGAAAGCATCTTGCAGCCTTGGAGTGGGCAGAACTTTTCCAGAGATCTCATTTTTGGTTTTGTGCTCAGGTTCTTCTGTTTCTATCCTGAGCCTCAGAGGAACAGAGAGAAGACAGAGAGAAAAATGAGATCCTTAGAATGACTTATTCATTTTCTGAGACCTTCTCACCCAACCTCTTCAAAATAATTACGTGTCAGAAATCCAAACTGGATTTCATATTTTCTTTAGCTTTAACTGATCTCCTAAAGCAGGAGATGGAAATGGAAAGTAAAACTGCAATGGGTCTGTGCAAGTCAGAGGCAGTTGGAGCCCTTGGAGGGATCTTAGGTAAGCTCTACCCAACAAGCTGCCTTGCTCAGCTGAACATGAGAGAAGTTTGATGGGTCCCTCCTGTGAGGCCAGAGACAGAGCCTGGAAATGGCACTGGACTCCCTCTGTACCTTTCTCCTTCCTGGCTCTTGCCTTCCAGAGAGAAAATGGCCATCTGCAAATATCCCAAAAGCTCTTTAGTCTGCTCATTGCCCTTGAGATTTCATCCCACAAAACTGCTCTTTCCTAAGATGCTCACGTCTGGGAATTCATACATCCTCACATAAGGAATCTGCGATGTTGCTAGCTGGATATCTGCTGAAGGGTGGGGTGTGCAAACCCATCCCAGGACATGGGGTAGGACAGAACTTGTTCTGTGTTTGGAATCTGTAAATATGCCCCAGTGACTTCCTGAACTGAGGTTTCAAATTGTGTCTGCATGAGCTGAGCCCAGGAACTTGCCTGCATTCCTCACTGAGCTGAGCAGATCCAGGGCAGAGGATCCCCCAGGGCTGGGGGCACTCTGTGCTTCCTGTATTTTCAAACTATATTTTCAAATTGTGCAGCCTGGCCACCAGTTCTGGGGTTTGGGCACCCTTTCCAAAGCCTGTCAGGCATGCCCCAGGGTTGTAGTTTTCCTGAAAGAGTTTTAATTTAGTGAGTGTATTGAACTTTAATAAAAGTTCACTTTCATAAAAGTGAGGGAGAGCGCCTCTTCCAGAATTGTCATCTTTGACAATTGGATCTGTCTCCCTGCTGTTCACCAGCATGTGCAGGACAATAAACCATGGGAATAAAAGCATAAAAGATCCACTCTTTGCTGTAATGAACATTTAAATACAAAGCTTCATCTCTTACGGGAGTTGAAATAACTCACACAGATACATCCACCCACGTAAATATCCCATATAAACTCTACACTCATCAGTGTACTTTAAAAAATGTTAACTAATACTCCACAAGAAACATTTATAACCTGTAAGCATGCTATTCACCCATGAATAACCATTGCTATAATGGACTCAGTAAACAAGCCAAAAATACATATTCAAAACATGGAAAACATCTGCTTTATGAATGTATCCCTGATAAGCCAAATTCACAGCAGAATCCATCCACAACTCATGTAGGAGCCACTTATGCATAACAGGGGCTCTCAGAAGCTGCCAGTGTTGTGTGTGCAAACATTTCCACCTGAATCCTGCATTTTAACACAGCACCTGAGGGCTGGCTTATTAAACATGAGCCCAGGTGCCTCTCTGCACACATTGTGTCCCCAGCAGGCAAAGCTGCACCTTCAGAGGATTTCCCAACAGCACAGAGCCAGACCCCACATGGCACAGCACAAACGCCCTCAGCAGTGCAGAGCAGGGAAGGAGTTGGATTCCAGAGTGTGCTTCTGCTCTGCAATCATCCATGAGAACTTTGGAGCAGCCAAAAGCTGCTTTTCCTGTGCTTTATTTGCCTCCCTGTGAGGGAGGCTGGGGAGCACCTCTCTAAGGAGAGCTGAGGGGCAGTGGAGCAGGCAGGGGTAGCACAGCAGGGGCTTTGTGCTCAGCTGTGCTTTGTGGGAGGCTTTGGCAGGACCCTGCGAGGGAACCCTGCCCATCCCGTGGTTTTATTCTATCAGCTGCTTTCCCAGACCCAGCCTTTGAGCTCTTCTGTCCTTGGGCGGTGTCGCTGGTGCTCGTGGAGGGCCAAGCTGGCCTGTGTGCCCTGGGTGCTTCTTTCTCCTGTATGAATTCCCACATTTATGTGTATTAAGACTTCTCATTTTGACTGGAGTTAATTTCTTAGACTGATCTGAAGATATAGTGGAAAAATCCACTGGCAGATGGTTCTGGGCAAGGGTTAATCAATATCCTCTTAGAAATGTACCTTTATTTTTCATTTTAATTATCCTGGCTTTAATTTTCACTCATTGCAAGACTCATCACTCATTTTAGGCTTAAATTTATCGCTTCATTGTTTTCTTTCTTTTGTTACTATGAATATATTTCCATCAGAAAGGGTGGATCATGGACCTGAGAGAAGAGGGAATGTTATTTATGCTCAAGTAATTAATACCCAGTGATAAGCTCTGTTTGCTGCCAGCCATATCTCCTGCAATACATGAGGGGCAGGTTGCCAGGATGTGTTAAGCAGCAGTGTGGTGGATGATGGAGAAGATGCTTAATGAAGGTACAGAGAAACCAGGCGAGCTTTCAGAAAAGTGGTTCCATCCAAAGGCCAGGGAAGCGGTGATGAGCTCCTGAGAGTCTGCTTGGGGTGACACCAGTCAGGGTGTCATTTCCAGAGGTGCCTGGTCTCTTTGGTGGCTGTAAGGAGCAGCAGAATCCAGATGCTGGCATTTTATTCCATGAGGAAGTCAGGTCTGAATTCTGATTTTGTTTTGGGTGATCATTCTCCCTCAGAGAAATGGGGAATGGTTCCAGGGGAGCCCAGTGGGTCCCTCAGCTTTGCCAACACCTATCAGACCAGAACTTGGTTCTTAAGTCCTGCTTTAGGGTCTGGAGGGGAAAGTTGCACTTTCAGACACTGTTGTGCATAAGAAAGTGCACACAGGGGCGTCCATGCTGAACAACTGGTGCTGGTGGATAATTTCTGCTGAAAAGTTAAACCTAATTCTGCAGCTTTGCTGAAGGACATTTGTTATTCTCCTTGCAGGACTCAGCTACCCTGCTTAGCTAGAACCAGGCAGCACAAACATGTAACTGCTTTCCCAAGAAGGTGAAATCCAAAGTTCCACTAAAATCTGTGCATCATGTGTTGGGGTGAATGCAGTTCTAGAGCTGCTCCAGTTTAGCAAGCACCGAAGGTGTGGGCAAATACAGACTCTGGTTCAGTGGGGTGATCTGAAAGAATTAATGGGAAAAAAATCCAGCCTGGTTTCATTAACCAGTAAAACCAGGGGTAACTCCTCAAAATCAGAGCTGTACTTTGGTTGGGCTAGTGATGAGAACCAGGACATGAAGTGGCTGTAAAGCTCTGCTTTAACTCACAAGTATTTGCATCATGGTCAATCTCTGAGTAGGACAGAGGAGGAAATCGGGGACCTCTCTGTACTTGGGAATAGAAACAAGCTGATCAGTGCAGCACAGTGGG